TTCACTCTGTATAGTATTCACACGTATTCGTACGTTTACATGGACGTTCGTATATTAAAGATAAATCATCTTGTATGATCAAGTATACACGTATACGAATTATGCATGTTGCGGCGCAGAAACAAAAGCGGGTTTTAATGCAATTTCCGAAATATTTCAATCTCCGATCTGTAGCTAAATACTAAATATGTTGTACGTCTTAGGATATATCATGGATTTTTCCAAAATCCAACGTACTATATTTATTTTATTGCTATTGATTTATTACGATTGATGGAAAAGGAAATCTACCAATTTACTATTTCTTCCTTTATTATTTGGCTATCCAAGCGTTCTAACCTGAGTATCATGATTGAATCTTCTCTGGATAGAATTTAACTACTCTAAACACTTCATCAGATTTCTAGTTTCACAGGATGAATTTTTATAGATCAGGAGGCAAGTAGATAGGTGACATACAAAGTGCGAGAGCATTGCAACATTTGCTGTATTGTTAGATTAATTACGTGAGGAAGAATCTTCCTCTACACTTACATGAAAATAGACATAGAGAAAGAAGGAACTAAATTTTTGCAAGTTATTTTAATGTGTAGAAAATTTAATTAACAGACTGACTACAATATCCCTTAAAAGTGGCACATTGACTACCAGAACTCTACTAATCACAAAATTCATTCGGAAAATAGACATTTATAGTCAAGCAATTTTCATGTTTCGTTCCACTGAACATTAAACGAATTCTAAGTGCACCGTATCAGCATTTTCGATGTATTTGTGCTTTTCCTTCTCGAAAAAGTCCACCAAATGATCGACAAATTTCCCGTGATACTCGTTAACCTGCTCTTCGGTTGGTTCTTCAATTTTTGGTAAATCCATCGGACTACCGACTGCAAGAAAAGAAAATTACGAAAATTATAAGAGCTTGCGATTTTTCTATAGAGAAACGTTCAAATCTATGCAATACTACAAGCTTTCTACCATAAAGTTATTGTTAGTAAGTTTCGAATTTTTCTTCTCACTAAAGTTTATTGTAAATCACTGTCAACAAAATCTTGTAATAAAAGAGGAAATGTCAAAATTTTAATAACCTAAAATTTCACAACCTTCAATTATGACAAGCATAAATACTATTTTTTCATATTATTGGTCAACTGTATTATTTGTGCTTCATTATTGATACATGGTTTTTCTGGCTTTGAAGTACCTACCAACGACAGTGATTGGTGTTCGCCGTGGAATGATACCGTAATAGTTCTGGAGCAATCCCCGGCCTATGAAAAAAATCGGTGGGAGACCCAGTATTTTACGAATAAAGTTCATCACTTTCTTCATAAATGAGCCTTCTGGAAACGTTATCTGGTCGTATGCGTTCGTTTCTCCGAATGAACAGACAGGAACTATGGAAACGCTAAAAGAAACAAGTCCTGCTATTATATAGAGACTTGGCAAGAATAGCATTAAACCATAATTATTATATTTTTACATAAAAACATTATATTAAGGAAAAGTGCATGTTGAATAGGGATTTGTCTTATCTTATAATACTCCACTCTGACCTTTACAATATGTACCTTTACAATTTTTCTCGGGAAAGTGAAATCATAAATGTATAAAATAAGTCAAAGTGTATGAATGTATAAGTATCCATAGTGTAGTCAGAAATAACCACAATTTTTGATGATGATGATTTTAGAGTCGATGTTTTTATTCAATCTAGTGTGTATATGATCCCTTGACATAGTGTGTCATTTGTATTTAGCAGTTAGAACATGTAACGCAATGTTAACTAGATCAATGAAACAAAGAATTGATTCGTTCAATTTTAACTTGATGAACGCAGTTATTTACTTGTTTCTTATAAATTAGTATATCGATGAAATAAAGACGAAAGTCTCTCTAACACATCTAATTATATTTAAAGCAGATTAGTTCAATGAACCGTTTCTATTGTTCCATGTTGTCACGAGCTTGTAACCCGAATCAATAGAAACAATAACAATTCTAACCCATTTTTCAGCGAGAGTCTTACGAAGCCTTTCCTCCTTTTTATCAGGATACGATATGTGCCCGGTTTGGATTCGAGTATTTCTGCTGCTCCACCGGGCATCAAAACTGTTGCTCTTCCTGTGTATGGAGCCTCAGGTTTCGTCGACAGTAGTAGGTTCACGCTTTCTTGACTGCTACTAGCAGTAGCTGCAATTTGATCGTAATAAAATGTAATTCTAAGACTATGAAGTAGGATATACGCGAAACTAGAGAAGCCGAATATGAAAGGGAGATCTTTGAGTTACCATTACTTGAATGACGAATGAAGAAATATTGTGGAGATAAAGGAACAATGTTGTTGATATCGTCGTTTTCTTCTCTGGATATAGTTTTTTAATTACAATCATTTTAATTTTTAATTACAATCATATAATGACATGATTATTCGTAATTGGCGAATGAAAACAAATCCAAACACGACTACGTGCCGAATTTACATGTAAATGAAGCAAATAAAAATTAGTAATAAAAGTGTTCATACGAACAATTTTTTTTATGAGGTGATTGAAATAAAATGTTCGAATTATACCCACAAGTGACGCGAATATAATCTCGCAAAAGCGGTGTCTTGAAGTTTTGATCCAGGACGACTACGTTAACATCGAGACCTGGGAACAATTCTCTGAAACCGGCGGCATCTATACCAAAGGCACCATAAACTCCCAAACATATTAAGCCATGTGGGAAATTGCAAAATAAATACGACTTGTTCGGATCCAAATCGGTGGTTTTCACTAGCTTTACAGGAAAGTAGTTGCGAAAATACCGATTAAATGCACACGTTCTTATCCATTGTTTCAATTGTTTCCTGCAAAGGTGAAAATACAACTGGTTTAACGGAATCTAACGCAGTGCCGAAGATTACGTGGTTTGCATAATTTATACTGTTAGATCACTTATTCGGTTAATGTATATATCGTCAAATATTGTTTTGTAAAATTTAAATTTGAATTTCGTGTGAAATATTCTACATTATGTGTGGAAATTTTCTCGTCGTCTCGTAAACTTTACACATGAACTGCGCATTTACTTTAAACATTTTTTGCACTCTTATGAGTTTTAAATCTATTTCTAGGGCGCAATATGTATAAACTATTAACGAATTAGACAACGTTGAATGTAATTAATCACGATTTTCCTGTAATAATATAGGGTAATATTGCCGGTAAAATAATTACAAAAATTTAACGTTTCTTCCGACACCTTAACACACTGTAAATCTCCTAGCAACCATTCGAAGAACATTAACATTACTATACGCTAATAACCAAGATGATATTTAACGAGACTTGATGTATGTTTTTGCTTTTCGTTTAACCGAAAGTACAACGGCGTATAAAATTGTGAAAAACCATATGGACGTTTTTGAATGTGATTTTTTATTTATGTTTCTGACGAAAGAAACATGAATATTGCACTACCGAACTCTTCAATTGTATGTATTAGAATAATAGTGAATAAAAAAAATTATATCATCTGATATTACAAGTGTGCTGTTATTACCTTCTACCGCCGACAGGGTATAAATGATTATCGTAGTACATCCAGATGAAGTAGAGCAACACGCAGTAGCGAGAAGTTTCAGAATAAAAGAAAAGATATATTGCGAGAGGATATCCCATCATTATTAAAAGTAATGTGCCCCATATAATCGTCGTGGTTGCAAGCATTTCCAAATTTCGCTGTAACATAACTTTCAGCGGCGTGAATTTTATCCCAAAAGTCTCCATCGTTTCCCTCCGTCTCGTCCTTTGTTTCCTAAAAATGATTTTTGGTTAATAGTTGATGATCTGCAGCAATTAACATTTAGATTGAAAATTTTCATACAAACTCCTATGTTGTTTGAGAGTGATTGATATGACACTTAATTATATACATATATTTTACTGTAAGAATATCGGTGAAAGTGCAGGAAATGTATGACTCTTAATGAACTTTTCTTAAACTTCCATCGCCAACTAATAAATAGTTGCAACAACGTTCGACAATGTGCTTTAATACTTAATTTTACTATTCACTGTTTCCACGAAGTAAAGATTTTGTTACTCTCTTCTTTTTCTTTTCTTTTTTTTTTTTTTTTTTTGTGAAATTTAGTAAGATAGCCGAAGAAGTAGAGATAACTGAGAAATATAGATGCACACTTTCTTACTTGTTGAACCGTAAATTCTGTCTGCAGAGTCCTCAATTTCCAGTATCAATGTAGTTTGATTTCGTTTCTGATCCAGGCGGTGGTCGCACTATAGCGGCAAACAATGTAGGGGAACAAATGCTAGAAAATGGATATGGATGAAGTTTATATAAGAATTCTTGCGTCCTTGCGAAATGTTAATATTGTTTTTATGTGGAGGAAAAACATATAATTTATATAACTTTATTAATTGAGATTTCCTTTTCAGGTTGTCATATTTAGTTAATCTTCTGTTTTTATTAATTCAGAATGCAAGTGAAGAAATGAAAATTTGTTTTCCAACAAGTACACTGTGGATTTCAAAATGTTCATGTTCATACTCCTTTCGTATTTGAATATACAAAATAAATTATAATATTCTAATAATAAGTCATTTAATTAGAAATAATTTAATTGATGTAATAATAAGTCATAAAATATTGAGACAGATTTTTTCCACTTTCACCAATTTAATACTTCTTTTATTACTTTTCCATATCGGAAAACTTGCAATTTCACTGTCAATCTACGTAACTTACGTAGTAAGTTCCAATCTTCCTTGAAAAGAGCAATTCTCAACTTATTCTACACTTTTTATCAGGTTAGTCTCACCGGAGATTATCCTCCACTACTTGAAAGAAGGAATAAAATTTATTTATTAGTTATTTTAGAAATCACGAGTTAGGTGTCATAAAAAAGTACTAAATAAAGATGTTGCTATTTTTTTCAAGTAGGAGACTAGCGTGCACATAGTATTAAATCCATGGTTTTTAAAATCAGTGTTTTATTCAATGTTTTTGGCGGGGCCATCATTGTTTGACAATTTTTCATTTGACCTCAGCCTTTACAAGAGTCAAACAACGCTCGAGACGTGGATTAATTGACGCGATCTACGAAATCACTATTCTTAACAGCGATTCTGTCTCGCAGATGTACTTATATATATAGTATGTACATACATAGGTGCATCAATGGAGTATGTCCAGCTTGAATACATGCTTGAAACGTTATTGCTTTTCTATCTATTAATTGTCCAGTTCTAGAAACGTTGAAACCTATGCAACTATTGTAGAGGTTTTACATATAACATACGTTACACGTGTATGTTTATATATATATTCATTACATTATTGTCTACGTACATATGTCGAGTAAAAGTTAAATTCACGCAATTGCTTACACACATTTATATATCAACAATAAAGAATTCTTGATCTAATCAAACAATAGTAAAGGCATAGTCTGTAGTACTTAACGATCATAATATCAAAAATTGTCGAGTTAATAAGTTAGCAGATTAAAAAAATTTTGGAAACTTTCCAAAGTATTAAATCCACCAAATCAAGTATTAAACAAGAAGATTGTTCATATTGTGAAGAAACAGAGAATGAAGATATATTTAAACTGGACATACTAAACAAATATATATATATATATATATATATATATATATATATACAAATCATTAAAGCTCTTGGAATTTATTGCTTCGTCTGTCCTTAAATCCTTATACACGATGAACTCTATTGGTTCTTTTCTATGGAAACGTCTTAAAATATACTTAATTGACGAGCTTGCTAAAATATGTCGCCTAAAAGGCGGCATATTTCCTACATTCGCGGCACTCTCACACCACAAAAGTCATTTGGAACATCGACGATTTACAATTGAGCAATTTCTTGGTCCATTGAACAACCACTGTGAGGATCCATTAACAAATTATTGGCAACCGTGTTGATCACTATACGAACTCCAGGTGAACTGAATCCGCGTTTTCGACGTACTTGTGCTTTTCCTTCTCAAAAAAGTCTACCACGTGCTCGATAAATTTCCCATGATATTCGTCAATCTGTTCTACGGTTGGTTCTTCTATCTTGGGTAATTCCATTGGACTACCGACTGTGGAAAAGAAAAGAAAATCGCAAGAATTATAAAAGCTTGCAACTGTCACAGGGAAAGGTAGGAACTGTTCAAAATAGAAATGTTCCTCTGCTATAAAATTATCGTTGGATAGTTTGATATTTTTCATTCAACCGAATTTGATAAATTGGGTATGATAAAATTGTTGAGGTTGTGAAAATTTTAACAATGTCATTTCAATTGTTACAAGTATACTATACTATTTTGTGGGTTAATACTTGCCAACGACAGTGATTGGTGTTCGCCGTGGAATGATACCGAAAGTATACTGGAAGAATCCCCGGCCTATCGGTATAACCGGCGCTATACCGATTTTCTTTCGAATATAGTTCTGCAGTTTGTTCATAAACGAGCCCTCCGGAAAGGACACTTGGTCAAACAGGTTTGTTTCTCCGAACGAACAGACAGGAACTAAGGGAGCGCTAAAACAAATAAAAAACGAGTTCTATTATTACAATGGGGCATTGCAACACTGACATTAACACTCGATCATCAAATTATAAGTAGCTTACGAATTTCCACGTATCTTTACATTGAAATATTCTAATTAATTGAATAATTGAATATTAAATATAAATACTAAAAGTAGAAATTTTTCTTATTCCACAAATACATTTTAACGAATACTCCGCTTTGGATGTTCTGCGTATGTTTGCAATTTCCCATAAATACATAAAAATTCGTAAAATGTCAATTGCGCGAGGATCGAGAGGGAACAACAGTCTGGAAGAAATATTGAGTGAAAAAGGCGGGAAAGAAGCGGTAAAATGGCTTAGGCGAATAGAAAGCAGAAAGAAAGATAAAAAGAGACAGGGAGAAGAGAAAGAAGAGATAAGACAGGTCTAAAAAGAAGAGAGCAAGAAAATAAACATGAAATAAAATGAAAGAATTAGGTTAAGATATTTAAGTAGACAAAAGAATAACGAAGTTAAGATAAATATAAGTATAGGATAAAGCAAAATAGGATACAAAAATATTATGAAAATATTGCAAAATTTAGGATAAATGCAATGCGAAATGTGCAATGTAAAAATCAAAGTCAATTTCAAGGCCAAAGAGGCTGAAATTAAATATATACATACATAAAAATCCGTAGTGTAGTAAAAAATGATCAGGAGAATCGAAATCACGATGTTAATTTTAAATCAGATTGTTTTATCCAATCCTATGTACTTCGCCTGATACGCTGATGTTTGTCGCGTGAAATATATAATACAATGTCAAGTATCCCAATTAAACGACAAATTGATTCGGTTCATGATGACTCAATTAACGCGGATGTCTTTTTTTTTTTTTTGGTTTTTATTTATCATTAGAAATTATATCAGTAAAGTAAAAGTGAAAGATCAGTTGATTCAAAGTGCCGTTGTTATTTCATGTTCATTCAACAGTAACGATAGTGAATTCTAACCCATTTTTCAGCGCGAGCTTTACGAAGCCTTTCCTCCTTTTTATTAAGATACGATAAGTGCCTGGCTTGCATTCCATTGCTTCCGCTGCTCCACCGACGATCAGAACTGTTGCTCTTCCGGTGTATGGAGCCGCAGGTTCCATCGATAGTTGTTGGTTCAGACTTTCTGATGTACTACTGACGACACCTGCGTTTCAATTGAGAATCACAATTAAACGTCTGACTTTTTGGTTGTTTGAAATAGCAAGCACGCTAAAATTGAGAAAGCAGGGAATTAGATGAAGATCTTTAAGAGTGACGATAGAAGAAATTTTGGGAAGGGAAAAGTAATAAATGATTTACAAATTTATCATTATGTTGCGATCAGCGCATTAGGTTCTACGTTTAGTAAAATATTCGAGAGATATTTGTTTTCCTGAGGGAACTATGTATTTTAATTACAAAATGTTTTTCAATTATTTGGCTGACTATTTCTAGACAAATTCAAACACGTTTAGATCGCGAGTCAATGTTTAATAAAATAAAATATTTTCCAATAAAATAGTTTCATCGTAGTTCTTTTCATTGCTCTTCAAACAGTTATATTTCCTTTTTCTACACGGTCACAGATATTCAAGTCAGACTTAATTATTTGAGCATGTAGAATCGCGTAGATGTACATTCCGATTTTCCAGCTTTTTGTAGGACGAATACTACAGAAGTTTAATATATTAACAGCTTATGTAATTCACTTGATCAGCTCGAAAGGTTTTTCTGAACTTCGATCTAGACGCTGATTGTCCTCGCGTTCTGTCAATAGTGATATTTAAAGATTTATACAATTAATAGAATTATGCCGCCGCAGCATTTAGTTTGAGGAAATATAATTCCATCATTCGCCTTTTTCCATAAAAAGGCATAGATCTACGTAATATTGTAATTAATATAAATGTATATAAATGTAATTTAAATATATTCGCGCTTATATCATTCACGATCCAAGTAATTACAGCATATTCAATGAAGTGTATTCATGAAGCAAATAATGATTGGCGAATAGTGCTTATTAGCATAAATGATTTGCTTCGGAGTAATCGGATAAAAATTTTCCGTGATACGTACAATTGATGCGACAGTACTCTCGGAAAAACGGTGCCCTGAAGTGTTGGTCCAATATAACGACTTTGATCTCGATCCCCGGAAACAATTCTTTGCAACCGGCGGCGTCTGTCCCGAAAGCACCATAAACCCCCGATGATAAAATCCCATGCGGGAAATTGCAGAACAAATACAACTTGTTCGGGTCCAAGTCGACGGTTTTTATTAATTTTATTGGGAAGTAGCTGCAGAAGTATCGCTGCCAGGCACAATTTCTCATCCAGTTCAACAGTTTTCGCCTGGATCGCACAAATGGTTAAACCATGGTTCTGAGTTCTGAGCGTTTGTTTAGTTTGGTTCGAGTGATTTACATGAATCGTGTATGCCGAGTGGTATTGGCAGAGAATAATTTTGCAAAGAGAATTTCGTACAACAATCCAGCTGAGCTCATTTTAATGCGTGAAGCTTATGCTTTGGACAGTGTTGAGTTCTGTTTTTCCAAAGATTACTTTTCGTTTTCTTTTCTTTTTTTCTTTTTTATGTCGAACACTGGATGAGGAAATAATGATACTTTCTTTTCTCGAAAATTATAAGAAGACGTTATTAAATAAAAGAAGACGTTATTAAATAAAAACGCTGAAATCTTTTTCCGTAAGCAAGACTGTATGTTCACTGATTGATGTTGAAAATTAAAATCTCCCCTTTACAACACGACTCCGAGAATATTTCTCTAATTAAGTTTACATTGTTGCCGTACAATCATACAAGTCTTGAACAACAAAAAAAGAAAAAGAAAAAAGAAAATTCAAGAAATCGTATATATTTCGTTATGTAACTCTGACGTTTAATATTGAATAAAATGGTTGGTGACGGCTCCTGAATCGTATAGCTCCTGAACGATTGGTACGTCAACGACGTAAGCGTTCAATTAAAGAAACATTTGTTTCAGATGAAAATGCAACGGTGCACAGAATTGTAGAAAGCAATAAGAATTTTAAAGAATTGTCAAAGCTGTAACATTTTGATTAAAAATGTCCAGACTGTGCTATTTTAGTAATATTTTAATTACTACTATAAAATTAAAACGCTTTTGTATCAGTAACGTCAATAATAAAATAATATCCAACATCGATATTTACATTCAGAATTTAACAAGAATCGAATATCTGTCTCACAGTCAAACTTTCGCGTACTCTGCGTTAAGTGTAAATTACATATTTGTGTATCAAGCTCGTTTATGTGTTGACTTAACGTGCAGGAATTTTATCGACTCGTTTCTATCGGACGAGATAAAAAAGTCTCGATATAAATCAGTGATTTTGCGAAATTGTGTCGCAAACAGAAACTCACCGTTTACACCCCACATCGGTCTTGTTCCAATCGTAATACATCCAGACGAAGTAAAGTAATATAAAGTAACGCATGGTCTCCGTGAAGAAAAGAAAATACGCGGTGAGAATGTATCCGCAGAAGTTTCCAAAGGCGAAGAATACGATACATACTGCGGCTGAAAGCGTTTCCAGTCTTCGCTTTAACGGAACGTTCAAAGGTGCAAATTTGACTCCGAAAATCTCCATTATCTTTTTCTTCTTCTTCCCTTTCTTCTAGATATTCCCTTTAGCTACGACGATATTGATACAGTGGTTCCTCTTTTGGGCTAATTAATACTGAAACACGTCGTACATAAAATGAAAATTAAGAAAATGACGAATGATATTTGTAAGTGTGTTTTTCTTTCCAATTATGATATATTAAACGAAAACTTTAAAATAATATATAATAAATGTAATATAACATATAATAAAGGAAAAATTACAGAAATAAGTCTGATGCAGTAACCTGATCTGTGAAAATGTATAAAATGTGTAAATTATATTCGTGATTAAGTATGCATTAATACTGAATATCAATAGGTACTTTTTTAAGTAACAATTTACATATTTTACGTTTAAAACCCATTACTGCAGTAGAAAATGTGATTGGAAGAAATCAGTTCTTGTTTCCTTCTAATATTATTTTCTTGACTTTCGACTAATAACTTTATTTAAGCAGTCATCTATGTATTTTTACTGCTTTTCTCCGCGCCATCGTCGTTTTCAAATTATGCACCAATTAAGAAAACTGAAGATGTTGAAAAGTAAATAATGATTAATGATTTCAAAAAATAATTTTAATCATAGAACAATTATAAACAATCCTATATTCGAATAATAAATTAATGTTTGTGAATAAATAATTATTACGAATGATCTGACTAAAGCCTGACAAATAATTTTATATCTTTTAATTACTAACGTTGCAATAAGATTTTTAATTTGAAATAATAGCGGTTAGAGTTCAAAGAAATCTGTATGTTTCTAAATTGAAATGCTTATTTACTGATAAAGGCTTTGAATATCTGTGTGTTTAGTGAACTTGATTAATCGTTTTCTTGTTCTTATCATAATTTTGACGAAAAAAACAAAAAAAGATTCCTTCACAGTTATTGCGAGTTTCTACTATATAATAACATATTACATTTTCTTTATTTACAAAAGTTTCAAAACATCAATAATAATCACTTGACTATTAACAACAATGATCTTCAGACGACTGATCAAGTTCCCTTCGAAGCTTTCTGTTAATTCTCTATTCTAAAATTACATACGAACATCTATGTGCATAAATATTTTTGTGAAAAACTGTTATTTCTATGAAAAGAAATTTCTAAAGGTGAATTAATCTCGCTGTACCCCTGAATCTTTTGTTTTCGCTCGAATGACGAAGAATTCCTAATGTTCTAAGAAAATCTTTATTAATTGAAACAGTAATCTTCTGTACAACTTTTCTAAATGATTTTACGCCAAATTTGATGATCCATCAAAGCGACTCGTATTGACATAATATCAACAATAATTCTCCGACATCGTCCTCCGATAACGTCTCAAAGCAAAATTTTCTAATCGGATTTCTAATCCAAACAACTTTCTCTACACTGTCATTACTGTACGATTTCGTGCTAAAGTTCATAATCCACCGAAGTGATCTACAATGATTCTTTGAAACTTTGAAGTTTCGAAAATGAAATTTTCAAACCGTTGAATAACAATTTTCAAATAATAGTTGTTCCTCCACACTCTAAGCCAATGATGGCGAACCTATGACCCGCGGGTCAGACACTGACTCACGCGTTGATTTTTATAAACTTATCATCATATATATAAAAGAATTTTAATTATTTTTCGAATCCCTCTTTTCAAAAAATGTTAAGAAAATTACAAGTGTCCGGTTAGAGGTTAAAAGTGAGAAATAAATGCATAATTATGTTTTATGGAGGATTTACGACTTGGTTATGTATACATATAGGTATTTTAAATCTTAAATGTTACATGAGTTACTTGTGCCTGAAACATTTTATATAGCGCTTACGATTAAACAGATGTAATAAACACTGAAAAACACACTAGATCCCACTCTCAGAAGTTGCTAGTTTTTTTATATAATAAAAGAGAGAGACAATAAAAAATATTAAGACAATAAAAAATATTAAGAAATAAAGTATATATATCTAATGTATAGTGCAGAGGTGACTGGGCATGACGTCACTCCTTTTATGTCAATTTTTGTCGACGTCGACGTTTATTTTCTGCTCTTCACTTGCAAAGTGAAAGTTGCAAAACAAAAAGGGAACGTAAACTTTTTAGAGGATTATAAAAGTGAGAACAAAAGAAAAAGTAGTTTTTAACCATCCTCCCCACCCTTTTTCCAAGTGACGCCACTGACTTAGTGACCCACGAGCTAGTACTAAAAAAAAAATAATAAACAAAATTTTGATCTACTTCGCAAAAAGATTCGCCGTCACTGCTCGAAGCTGTCACTACTGTACGATTTTGCGCCAAATTCGGCTCACCGCGCGACTTCAACCCAACACACTCCAAGAATAGAAAAGATTAGAACTCGACGGAATCGACACAACGTGCATGACGATTACGCAATTCTTTCGACAAAGAAACGTGCCTGCAGGTCATTGATCCTCAGCATTTCCTGTGGCAACGCTTTGTCTCTTCAACAACAAATTTTACATCCGAAATCATTTCGTTGCCATTCCAAAGAGCAAAGTCCGCGTTCAACGCGAAGAATGTGCACCAGTCATCAAGTCGATTGCATTTCGCTCGTGTGAATAAAGCGTAAGTAAATTTATAGATTATAAATAAAGGAATGCATTTCACTCGTCGATCGCTATGTGTAATGAATTCAGGTGAACTTGAACTTCAAAGTATCTACAACGCACAAGTAATGATTGAAGAGAAACGTGAAGACGCTGCCTGGCCGTCGATTAATTTAGTAGTGTTGTTAAGTGATTTTCAATTCTTAAGAGTGACTTGTGAGAGACTTTGCAAGGTACAAAGTCATTTTGAATATTTAATAATCCCGATATTTCTTGTTTTTGCCGTTTTTTCATTTCGTTTCTTCGAACATCTCCTTCAGAATAGATGTTTTTGCCATGACAGAAAAAAAAAGAAGACAGAAAAGAAAAGGAAAGAATTTGATTTACGTAGATGTTAATCAATTCCGCGAAAAAGCTGTTTAAATATGAATAAAAATTATTACATAGCTTGTAAAGGATCTATTTTATTAGTAATTAATAGTATAATGTTGGTACGTATAATACAAATAAAAATGTCGTTTTGCAGCATATAATATAAATAAGGATTTTGCGATTATTAATATAAATATCGCATTTTGCGATTATTATTAGATAACAATCTACAAATCGAGTGACAGTAATTATAATCTACGATCTACGCGTTATAATAAATATAATACACTCAATTTGACTTACATAATGATAGCAACATGAATGTATGAAAATATAAGGATGATGAACATAATCGGTTTCGAGACAATTTGTTTTATAAAAACAATATATATGTACGTATCTTCGGAAATATGAAATCGCATGAAAATCCGCGGTCTGGCTACAAATGACTGTTTAAATATTTCTAAAATTTCTAGAGAATCTATACTTGTACTAAATTTGCTAATTATCTTTTAGAGGCAACAAAATAATGAAAAATATTTACAAAAGTGAATCAGTCGTTTTCGTTACCTTGAAATCACAACGCGAATGAGAAATAATATATAAAATGCGCCATAATACGTTTCTTTTGTGAGAACATTTTCTTTTGTGCAATAGCATCGCATACATATGCATATAAAATCATATTAAATATTTCTCAACACGATTTACATATATGAATGCGAATATGAAATTACACGTACAATGCAGTGACCTATAAAAAGTGTTTCACGCCATTGTATTCTAAAGTTCATATCGTTTAGCATGTTTCGATGTGGTTACGAAAATTTGATAAAATAAAAACAAAATGAAATATCTGATAGAAAGAATAAGTTACAATAGAAAACGAAAAAAATGAAATATATATCACAGCCATTAATTATCTATCTCGTCAAAGATAAATAATTTATCTAGTTGAGATTAAGGAATGAATCCAAGATAAATGAATTCAAGACTATTTCTGATAAAGTTCCTTCCTTGTTATTAAATAGTCTGTCAATATTCTTCATTATCATCACGATTGTAAATATTTCATTTCTAACTAAATATTTCAAACTAATATTTTTGTATTATTCTGCTGTTTAGAAATTTCTATAATTTTTAATGGTTTCTGCAAATTCTAAGTTAATAAAAGTAATAATAGAATTATAAATACTAGAATTCCTAAAATTGATTTAATATTTAAATAAATTTTGTATAAATTTTATAAAATTTTATAAAAGAAATTTTATAAAAATTTAATTATATAATTAAATTTTTATCTCTGTGAAATTTTTTTAAACATAATTGGTTTCAATTTCAATGAATTTATACAATTGTCACTGCTTCCTGAGGTTTCTTTACAATAATCTAGATCATTAATTCAGATAACCAATTACAATTCCTACTTGAGACAATAATACTTCGAATACCTTGTCTAAAATTAAATCGGGCACAACGCGTGATCTTTTACGATACGATATTTTCATAAGGGCACCTGTTAGAAATTAAAATGCAACTCGACTTATGCACACAGCTATTCAAATCAAGAATTAGTAATGAAAGAATGTTCTTTCATTACCATCTTATTGATTATTCACAAGTTCTTAAAAGGAATTGTTAACGATAACGAAAGTTTAGATTCGTATCGTCTGACTAAAATTGAGAAGTACACCGAATTCAACAAAGAACATTTCAAAACATTGAGAAAAAAAGATGAATTAATATACCAAGTCAGTTACCTGAGATTAGAAGTTGAAACATTTTCGAAACGATTAATTGTATAAAAAAAAAAAAAACGAGTGAAATTTCACGAAATTCTCGTACAGTGAATTCCTTGGTGCTCATTCATTCTTCGTACCTATCCACACGTCAATGAGGAAGTAATCAGAGTCATTAACAAACGACCACATGAAATCTCGAACAAATGATCTAGTCACGATCTAGTCTCATGCAAGCTCACATTGAATCTTTCTGCTCTTTATGAAAAAAATGCAAAATTGAAATGAAAGAGCCATTATTGTTTGTTTTAAATTTTTCACTAATGAGAACACCATCATCATTTGTCAATAAATACATATTACACACTATGCGTACTCTCGCTCAAAATTTCGGAGTATTTTATTTCTCTGACAAACAAGAATGTTGTAATCACGTCACTCATTTTTAAATATATATTAAAAAAATGATACTGCGAATAAAATATTTATTAGATCTGTAGATTGATTTCAGTATATTTCTTGAATTTTCTAACATGCTTCAAATTGTTTCGGAGCTGCAAAAATTCAATTCTTCACTGTTTGTCATTTATTTCACGTTTAATTCAAACAATTCAGGAAAATGAAGGGAAAAGACGAAAGTGAATTTTTAATAGTAGTATCACGTTTCAAATTTTCTTCGAATAACTAACTTTCTGGCATTATCGGCACTCACCAACGTAAGAACGATATATACAAACATTAGAATTCATCGATTAAAGTCAATAGTTACCATAACTCATAAACTAAATAATTCATACGCGGATGATAGTATACAAATTTTACGAATTATTCTTATAGAATGTAAATAAGAAACGTGACATTTATAAAAATAAAAATACGTGTAACATTTCTAAAATTTCACAATAAATCTCCACATGTTGGTAACATAAATTTGAATTCTAAGAATTATACAGATGACTCTATTAAAGTTGAAGGTGACTCATTAAATGTGTTAAACATTATTATTATTATTTCTCTGCTGAAGTTAAACGCGATTCGCAGTTTTCTTTTTTCAAATCAAGAATGCTTCTCCAAGTTCTCGTGCAATTAAAAAGACAAATATTAAATTTTCAAAAAAGTTTCAATATTTGGAAATACAGATTTCTCCACTACGATTTTCTCAAATCAAATATCTTCCTCCAAAATCCTCGTAGAAATGGAATGAAAAATTTCAATTTTCAAGAAAGTTTCAATATTTCGAAATACAGATTTTTCTATTAAAACTGAACGTCAATCGCAATTTCTTCAAAATCGTTCTTTGAATTCTCGTACAATTAGAACGAAAAATCTCAAAAGGGTTTCAATATTTGGAAATACAGACTTTCTTATTAAAACCAAATTCGTCATTTAAAATTTTCTCAAGGGGAAAATCATACTCGTGCTATCAGAATGAAAAGTCTCGAGTTTCAACGTTTAAACCTTCTGGCAATTGTCGCCGATCAAAAACACAACAAACTAACGTGCTCGACCATTCAAGAAGAAGATAGATCTTTCAAACTTTACTCACCGATCTCTTCAAACGAAATGTCCACGAGAAAAATACCCACGAGGTCCGCACTACGTTTCACTGAATAACAGATATAGTCGTTTGCGTAAACATGCTAGTAGCGTCTCGTGTTGCAGTCACGTTTCACTAGTAGAACAGCCTTTAGCGATATCCGGCTTTTTGTGCAACGTTATCGCGGTTGGAATTTGTCCGCAAACTGAAACTTTTACCAGACGACGAGCCGAGCAGCAGCAGGACGAACGGAAAACGAAAAAGGTAAACGCTCGCGACGAAATGCTCGGCTCGGCATCACGCTGTTCACTGGTCGAATCGCAGAGCGTCGAAAGCACGCAGGCCACGCACGCATACTCGCCTGCGTAGCCGAATCAATGACGAGAAAAAGCGAGGATTCTTTCACCGTTAGGAACGCGCCGCGGATTAAAGTTGAGGTGCAGCGTGTATGCAGTTCCGTGCAGTTGGCTTCCTTTCTCTCTCGATCGATAATCCGTGGATCTAGCTGAAGGGAACGACTGGCCGGTGAAAGATTGCAGTGAGTGAATGGTCGAACGTTTCCAAACAAATTATGGTGGAGTTAGAAGAGCAGTTTTAGTAGTTGCCAAGAGGGGATTATTATTAATAGTAGTTCTCAATTAGTGGATGATTTAAAGTGCGTGGAGTGTACACTACCGTGCGTGAATAATTGGACACTTTTTGTGCAACTCTGTTGAAAGATTGATATCTTCATTATCCCATCGACAATTAGCCAGCATTCTTCTTCTTCTTCTTCTATTTTTCTTTAATGTTGCATCGACAGCGAGGTCATTAGCGACGACGGTGCCATTAGATATGTGTGTAGTAGTTTATGTTTTTGAGATATTTTAATACTTTTTGTATGTCAGCCAGCATTCTTCTACTGTTAATTTTCTATATTTTCAAGCTTCACATTCATTTCGAATGAATAACTACGTAAAGTCTGTAAAACTTTCTCAACGTAGCTAGAAACGTATGTTTCAACAACGGACGTGCTCGAGGTCGCTTGGCCTCGGAGTTATCAGCCATTTGATTACTATAATATTACCTGTTCTTTTTATTAATATTTATCAACTGTATATGTTAAGGTTCAGTTGAATTGTATTCTGTATTGCAATAATTTAGAAATATCTAAACATTTATGAAAATTAGAGTGGTAATGTATTGTGACTTGTAGAAAATTTGAAGATAAGCGAAGAAAAGTTCTCCTAGTTTCACGTTCAATATTTGTATACACGTTCGTGGTCGATTGACGAGTCTAAAGATAAAGGAAAGTGCTCCGATTGCGCAAACGCGAAGATATAGGTATAATAGATGTTGCGACATCTAATATACGTGAAATATGCTTTTACTCGTGTGTTAATTCTATGCTATCGAGGTATCGAACTATTTCAGTTTCAATTCTGTATTTTAGTCTGTAAAAATTTGCACGAGTCTACAAATTATTAGAGATACAGAGAGAAGTTTTTTTTCATAACAAATAAATATTTCTACATGACTAAACTTTTACGAGGTTGTGAAAAAATTTTGCATTACAAGGCATAATAGTATCAGCTTTTGGATCAGTGAGAGATTATCAATTTTTTCATGGAATTATAAAAAAAGAAGATAAGCAAAGGGAGATAAACACGTAGAAATACATAGTATAAAGATTACGAACTGCATTCGAAAAATGTGCGTACAGATATTTTATTATACTTCCCAACGTGTGAAAACTTTCTAATTACACATGTGTAATACTGTTTTCGCATAAAAAAATCTCGTGAAATTTTCTCTCAATATTTAATTAATTGACTTTGGCGAGTAATTCTTTGTCAAAATTTCTATAAATTATTTAATAAAGAAGATTAATACAATAATCCTCACATTATAAATGAAGTTCAAAATTATCTTCAGAGGACTGAACTATCTGATGAGAACTTTCTCTTTTCCAAAAGTTTGAATAAAATGTCAATTTTGAACAAAAACATAATTTCTTTTCCACAGAAAAGATTTTAATATTTATTTCACACACGATTTATTTCTTGATTGTAAAACTGATGAGTGCTCTGAATTTTTAGACAATAATTTGTACGATTTCGTTTTAAAAATTTGATCTGCTTGTACAGAGCAGGAAGTTTTATGTGTTCCCAGTTCTCCGAGGATTAAAGTACAAACTCTATATCTGAATGGTATAAATATCTTCAGAGATAAGATTCAAGTTCTATATCTTCCCCTTCTTCTTCTTTCAGCTTTTATCTGCACAGAAAAGGACAAATTCTCTGTTCACGCAGGCCAGGTGTGAATCAGACAACTCTTCTATTGAAACAATACGTTTATTGCTCGATCTATAAAAAAACAGACGAAAGGGCAAGGTGTGCACCTTGGTTATCAAGGTTAGAGGCCGTGCATCCGCACCGAGAGAAAAATATACCTCGATTAATTAGAATCTATTACCATCGCGACAACAATTACAATTAGTTAAACCGATATATCGTAATGCGTACGACGTATACATACAATAATGCACGTGTAGTTTCCGAAGCTTCCGATCTCGTTTCTCATCAGTGTTGATCTTTACAATTTTTCTTTTCTTCGTAAAAAGATCTCTGCCTAAAGTAGAACGTGAAGTTTTCCGTCCTAGTTCTCTTCGTCGACGATAATTAACTGTTCTCCTAGCTCGAAAGGAAAAAAACACAAGTAAAAACTCGCACGAAATCGCGCGCACACTCTCTTCTTTGCCTCTCAGACAAAGTAAATTTTTTTTCGTACTTTCTTTTCCTGAGAAATAAAAATATCGTAATTATAACGTCAGTTAATTACAATCGTTGAGTTTCTGAAAATATTTCTTCGAGAAATAAGTACAAGTTCAAATGCCAACTGATGAGAGTAAGTAACAAGAGTAAGTTTCAATGCTTAAGTATTATTCAGTTAAGTTTTGATACTTTATGAAATAGCAGTCGTCGCAAATAAGATATTTATTCACTCGGGAGTTTCTTTCAAAAATTCATCAAACATACTCCAGAATTTTGAACGAGAGCATGAGTAGATTGAAACAGTAATCCGCCATTTTTCTTTTCTTTTTTTTTTCTCTTTCCAAGAATACATCGGTCAAACGTTTTCAACATATCGATAATATAATATATGCCTCTCCCCATATAAAATTCACCTTTAATAACGCTGATGGCGTTCAACGATTAACCCTATAATTACCGTTTAGTTAGCAAAACTTGCGATTAGTTGGAACGCGGTTAACAATGAATTTCAGCACGATTAGTAGAACAATATCGCTTCTAAGTTATCTCGGTTTAATTATTGATCTACGCGATCATCGTAAATCATTCGATTCTGCGTAAAGACAGAACGAGAACGAGAAAAATCATCTTTCTCTCATCGTTGGACTGCGGATTTTCATATATCCTTTAATTAAACGAATGTAACTGAAATAGAAATTTTTTTTTCACTTACTACATGTATAATAATAAATGTTCTACTTCGGATATTTTATATATTATCGTATGCATGAGTGCATAAAAATCCGCAGTCTACATATATCGTTATTCGCTTGACATTTTCGAGAAAACAACATTTCGAGTCTATTTTCTTTTTTTTTTCTCTCTCTCAACTTTTCAATAAATCTTTTTATCGAGAGAATCAGTTTCCTCTTTAACGAAGGTACTTTTATATTTACAAAAAAATTCTCCGCTTCACGTGTTCGACGTGTATTCTCACGCAGGATCGAGCAAGTTTCTTTTTCAATTCACTCCGAGTTTCATTTTGATAACGAATCACGAATCGAGTACACGTCCGAAAGCGAAACGAGACATCGGATCACGGCCGATTTATGGCTGTGCACGAGCAGAAAAGTTCGGAAAGTAAACGTGAATCTCGGAATTCTAAAGGTGAACAACAGCACCGATCGAAGAAAAAAAAATCGCCTACCGTCAAAACACACGCACACACAGTTTTACAAAGCTCTTCTCGTTCGGTCTGGCCGTTTCCGTTTCGCGGCTCCTAAAAGCGAGGGAACAGCGGTTTCGACTGAAGTTTCTTTATTTTTTTCTTTTTTCGTTTTTTTTTTTTCCAAGCCGTAGATTATCTTCTAAGCGCGAAGCCTAATGCTCGTACGTCCCTTTCAAAGTCCTATTACCTAGTCGACCGACGAGGCAGCATTTATATTTTCATATCTTCGTCCGAATCTCCTTTTTTTCGAGAGAGATCTTTTACAAGAGATGCAGATTTCGGATTTCTCTCCCTTTCAGCAGAAAATTTAAATTTCCATTTTAATCCTGCTACGATCTTTAGACGTTTACATTTTAACCTTGCTCTTATTTAAACAACAAAAAATCATATGTAGTTTGTTCAATCAGAATAATTCTTATTTAGTTAGAAAAATATTGCTATTTTGGATAGAAAATGATCGAGAGCATGCCTATATGTTTGCGGACAGCAACAGGATTAAAACCTCGCAATCCTCGTCTGACGTTTTAAATCAGTTACATCGTGCAATTTTTAATACTATTCTCGGTTCCAAACCTCGATCACTGACTAGATCAGGACTTTAAAGATAGAATCTCAGCCTCCGCTAAGCACGCAGTAGTTGCATATTGTCACGAATCTTCTTCGCCCTATCTACGACATCCACATACATACGACTCGAGTCTCTCTGCTTCGACAGAATTTCTACACGATCGCGACGAGAGCAACGTCTGATCGTCCAAACCGTACTCAACGATCGATAGGAGCATCTGTACGTATTTTCGAGGAAACAACAAATAGCAACGATGATGTTTGGACGACACGTTGCGCGAAACGCTTGGCTACTTACTATAAACGATTGTCAGGGACGGACAGTGAGGTCGTTCAACGTAAAACGTCGAAAGGAACCGCCGATTGACCAAGGCGAGTGACTTGAGATTTCGTGTCACGCACAAGAATCGCTCGTGTCCTGTGTACGAAATCTGGAAACGAAAGAACTCGAAACAGAGACACGAAACTAAGGAAACTTTACATTTTGTAGAAATTATTTTTAGAAACTATTTCTTACGTGGAGATTATCTTTTCGAAAAGATATCGACGCTTCAGTGGTTCATGGATCGCGATATTTCATCGTAATAATAAATTTTATGAATTGTAGAAACCTCCGTATTTAATTTTAACGACTCGCAGTTAGCGGAATCGTTTCGTCAATGAATCACGATATAATATTTATAAGAAAAAGGATGAGAGAAATTTCGAATCCGTGTCCCCGTGTTCGAAATAAAAAGAAATTTAAATAAATTGAACTACTTTTGAAAATAGGATAAACCGATTTCTCATTGGAACGAATGGATACACTCTTTCGCGTCACGTCGTTTCAATGAAACTGCTACTCTAACGCTATTCTAACGTCAATGAATATCACCAACGCAATAAAAAGTAATAAAAAGATATCTCAACGATCAAGCATTCTCGAACTATTTGGAGTCAATAATAATGTAAAATTATAACGCATCTCTGACTCGCAGGTACGGTCAATTAACTCATTGGTCTTTTTTTCGTCCATTCACCAAGAAATCAACGATTTTTCTTTACTTCTTCTTTCTCTTTTGGAGCTCTGAACGATACTGATCGAAATGACGCGAAAGAAATGAGCTAATTGACAGTGATATACAAACGCGATTATCATCAACATTTTGCTTCGTCATTTCGTGTTTCTAAAAATGCTTAACAATGAGTATAACGATTCTGTCCCACGAAGTATACACGTACACGCATGCAGTGTATCTAAATTAAATATACGCACACTATTATCTTTGCGATTATTCAAGTATATGAACGAATCTTTCGCACGAAAGTTATGTGATCTGATATTGAACAATTAATAGAATTTGGAAAATTTCAAAGAAGATTCAAGTTTCATTCGAGATTCCTCACACATTTAGACGATCAGAGATGTAATAGCCTGTGTATATCCAAAGTGAACGTACTGTGCACGTACGTGTACAAGTCGGGAGAAAGCTCTTAAGAGTTTATTGCTTCATCTAATCTAGAATTGAACCGCGAGTACGACCTCGGCGCTCAGCCATTGAATCTTCTTGGGATTCTCGTTCGTTCATTCGCGTCGAAGATGAATCGATTACGTGCCATTAGGATTCGTTTAATTTCATCGTGCGAGCACAATGCGAACCAAAGATGACGCTTAATTGACTCATCTCGTGAACAAACTCCAAAGCACGCGCATCTAACGAGCATTTAACGTTAGTCAGTCCTATACACGTTGGGTTAAGTGATCCACGCTAAAGAACCGAAGCCGTAGCGCCACGAGAGGAACCTGCCGCTCTCCGCATCCCAAGAATTTGCACAACGTTGCACAGTATTCTCTTCAAACGTTTCCCTTTCTTTTCTTTTTTCTTCTTTTTTTTTTTCTTTTTTTCTTTTTACACATATCGAAAATACCGCGTGCCAGCGGCCGCGACTTCATTCACCAACCACGTGACATAATAAAATACGATGTACAATAATCGAATAGACGCTTCCTCGCTGTACAACGATGGATAAGAAAATAACAAAAAAGCGATCGACATTTTTTTTCATTGTTAAGCCGTCAATTTAACTCTACAGGTACGTCGTCGACGACCTTTCTCCCCAAACATTCCACCACGTCCCGCCTCCTCCCCCCCTCCCCCCTCCCGTTCTAAAATCGTACAATAGCTTAGCTACTTATAATTGAACAACAAGATCCCACACGTTCCATCCGTAACAACGACGACGAGAATACTGATTATTGGTGTTTTGGCAGCCGATATCCGCGTAGCACGCGAACGACAATTCTCATGTTATTCCTCCCTCTCTTCCTCATCTTTGAACATCGTCCATCTCTCCTGGACATCACCGTGTTACCTTCTCGATATAGTCCAGCGTCGATCAATGTACGGCCGAACGTTCCTTCGCGAAACGATACCTAGAGAAACGCGAGAGATCTCTTTCCTCGGCGAAAGAGCACGCGACTCGCGGCGAGAAACAAACAGGGTGGGCAGTGGTTTCTTCATTTTTCAGCGACCGATCATCGAAGGGAACAGTTATCGCGCGAAGCACCGACCGCTCTCGTCGTCGTCCGAGTCTCCTTCCACGTCTTCCGTCCGTCACCAGGCACTTTTTGCCGCTTCGATCCGTTTTTCCTTCGGATGGACGTCGCTGGAAGGAACGTGATCGCGCCGAGTTGGCATATGGGTGGTCGGTGGGCGCGCGCGCGCCACTACAAACACCGTACTATCGAGCGGAACGGTCGATCCGATTGCTTGGTTCTGTCCAGTGCTTCGCTGGCTGGGAGGTCCGGTCGCAGAGTTACGTGGACGTCGACGGTGACGACGAGATCGGGTCCGGCTGGTAGTACCTCAAGCCGTTTATCTGCAATTTGTTACGTTTCCTGATGTAGCTATGGTATAATTATACCCGCTTTAGGAGCAGCGTGGCAAAAGAATTGGTTTAGCAACGACACCGACACGAGTTCTGATCGTGGGATGATCCAATGCAACATTTCATTCCACTGTAACTTTTCCTCTGGTCAAAGAGAAAGAAAGTGCAAGAGGTTTTTATGGAGTAGCAAGATGACAAACAGAGTTTCATAACAACTCTGATGACGTTTAACTGTAGGACGATTTAATCCCAACACGAGGGAGATCATAAAGATTTGTTTAATGTTTCTTTTACCATTATTTACTTTCCTAACTGTTGTTTTTTTTTTTTTTTTAACGTTGTTCGCATCAAAGATTTGTTTAATATTTTATCTCGCATTTTATCTCGAGTCTAATCTCCTAATATAATAAACTATATCTTTTTTTCTTCATTACAAAAATTCCTCTCATACTTCTAATTTATATAACAAATAAAAATCCCTGAAAATATCGACTACTTTTTATTATTCTACTATTCTGGTTTTATTATTTACTATTCTACTAAACGTGAAAGTTGCTTTCGTTTCACTTGAAATCTGGTCTTCACAATTATACACAATACCAACAAAAAGCGAGTTCTAAAGAATCCGTACCGTCATGTCGTATTCCGTGATATAAGCGGGGATCTCCAGTTGCTCGGGAGACATCACGTCGTAAAGATACTCGACTCCAGGTAAATTGTGAACCTTCTGTTTGATGGCTGGAGCCATGAACGTCGTGAACCACCATGTCATCATCTACAACAGATAACAAAGGAATTACTACATTTACGTACGCCAGCTCGACGCATTATCGTATTTCGACGTTTCAGTTTAACGAACAGCAGCGGCTACCTGTCGTCGAAATACGTATTATACATTCGGTATGACATTGATTGACGTGAGTGGAAGTGAAAAAAACAGCAGAAAGGTCCAATTATTTTTCTCCGCTTCGTATCGACATCGTTCACCTTGTTTGGCGGTTCCTTTGAAAGCATTTCGTTCCGCTAACAATGCCAGATCCAGTTCACGAGATACTGACTGGCCTTGCGAGGGGTCAAGGATACGCTTGCACGGGTTTGCAAATCGTGAACGCGAAAACGCGTTTGCTCAATGGCTACCGGAAGGGCAGGAAGTTCGATACGATCGTGCGATCAACGTGTAACGCGAATGTGGGAAAAACAAGACGGACAGAAGACGCTTCCAAGCTTGGACTTGATATTACACCTTATCGATCCTTACTGATCGATCATTCCGATCATGCAATAACGCATAAATCTGAATGCGTTAAAATTTTCCGTCAGAATTGATTCGGTTCTGAATGCATTTCAACAAGAAAAATTGATATACTTTCAAGTAGTTTATTGGTTTCTAGAAGCTGAGATTTTTTTTAAATAAGGAAATTAGTTAATTAGTTCTGATTTATTACTGTGTTTCTAAATGCATTAAAATTATTGGTTCTGATTTATTTATCGCGACAGTGTCTTCAAACTCAGGAGAAAATTAATATTAATCATATAGTTAATATTGCTAAACGGTTTATTAATTAATTGCCTGTTTACCTTGGTCCAAAAAGTCGGGTGAATAATGTAAAAGTGTTTCAGGTTCTTCTTATACCTGCAACAGAAGCAGTTTTTCATGTATACTGATGTACGTATCTTGATTTGTGTAATAATTCATTGATATGCATCTCTTTGTCGATTAGAGCTAATGTATACGACGCGCGTAATGAATTTTTCATTCAGAATAAAAAAATTTCCTGTCGAGTAAAATAATTTATCTGACTGGAGTTCTTGCTATTGTTACGTCAGAATTCTGAATAAAGCAAAGTATGATTTAATATAACGTGATGTAATGAACTTTACGAGGTGTTGGTAAGATGTAATTTCTCAATTAAAATTTCAATTCACAGAAAACGAAGGAATTCGTCATATGAATTAATCTTGATGAAATAATTGTAATATTATGTATCTAATGGTTCTGAATTATCTCTCAAAAATTACGTCGTTTCGTTTCATTGAAACTCTCCAATCTGTTAAACAAACAAATTCTTCAAAATTTTACGAATCAAAGATGCTTCTTCGAAATCGAATTTACGACTTCGAAGAAAAGATAAAGCAGCTCATTTGTATGTAGTTCTGAAAAGAGAGGCTTGCCAGAAAAATATCTTACTTGTAAGGAAGCACGTTGTATACTTCGCGCAACCAATGCAAACTAGGATAGTTGTTGCTAGTCGTGAGCGTGTGGAAATAAGCGATAACGTAGTCGCCTTTAACAATTGGATCCAACAACTGTATCAAGTATAGCAGCGCCTGAAACAGAAACGAATAATTTCTCGTTAGTGAATCTACAAAGTAATTTTCACTGTAAAATTAATTAAATTAGTGGATTACACTAATGGTGAAAGCTACATGAAATTTAGAGTAAGTAAATATTTATAGCAAACAGATAGAAAAATTTATAACTTGAAAATATTATTTATGTGAATGTCATTTTGTAAATTCATTGTAGTACAGTACATATAGAGATTGTAGTTTTTACAATAAATTTTTTAATTAAAGATGATCACCATACCGTTCAAACACAAATTAAAAATTATTCAAACACAAATTAAAAATCATTCAAACTCGATCAAACCTTCAAGCATTCTCCAAGTCAACCACCAAAATTACCTCTAATCCGCCGAAACCTTTGTTTCCTCCAAACAATTTCAAACAAAAACCATTCTCGCGTCGCCGTTCTTCAAAGTAAAAAAATCAAAGTCCAAGTCCTCTTTGAAGATTCTTTATAATCAAACCACTGACATCCCCTCTCTAATCACTATATTCAAAAACTCGGTGAAATCAAAGCCGTCTCCGTTTTATCATTCGCTCGGACGGTCATCATTTAATCTAGCTAACAAGTTGGCTCTGCTCAAAGCGTTTCCCACTAGCCGAAGCACACAGGCCTTTCTTCTGGCTTGCGAAAACCGACCGGGAATCGAAATTACTGCCGTTGAACCGTGTCACGGAATCGACCAAACGTCACGAAGTACACAGGACGCCTCGGGAACGCGAGTCTTTGATCCCAGTTTGAGGCGCACTCGTCATCACGTTTTAATCGATCGCGCCGCTACAATTCGAATTAGTGCTCCGGTTCTTCGCCCTCGCTCGTGGAAATCAGGTCGGAGGCCTCGATTACCAAAAAAAGAGCAAGGCACAACCGTACAACCTTTGCACATCAGTACAACCCTTTTGTAACTCTGTATAGTACTACAGTGAAAGCATTCGTGCACTTGTCGCTAGATCGCGTGTTCTATCAATAGAATAAAATCTGGCTTGGACATCTGTTTTATTAAATTGTCATTTGTTAGAAGAGGAAGTTGAGGAGTACAGACGTTTATCGATATATTTAATTTCTAGTGGTTTGCGTAATTTTTGAATTCAATTAGATGTGGAATCTGTATTAAATTTTCAACGACACGGTTATAGTTTGAGTAATTGTTCATTTGAAATTTTCTTGATTAATTTGGCAGATCTGGCCACAGTTTTGCAATTTTTTAAGCTAACGTTCTGCGCTTTTGGTTCCTATATTTCCTTATATCATGAATTCTTTAGAACACTAGATCAGTATTGTTTATTTTATCGTGATGTGGCACTGTATGTATTTATTCGGAATAGATGTGCAAAAATCTGAATATGACAATTATTCTACTAATTCTAAGATCACCATTTACAAGATATACGTACCAATCTTTTATTAATCGTACGCTTCTAATAAATTTTATTTATTTTTTTATCTCAATTAAGTTAACCAAGATTCCAAATAGAAATTTGTTTTACGCACTATATACTGCCATAAATACTCTACTTATATCTTGCGTGTGTGTTTGCATCTTTAAATTTTCCATAAATAAAAATCCGAATTCCGATATACAATTCCGTGATTCGCGAACAAACAAACTGGGAAGTGATTCTGCGTACAAAAATGAGTCGAAAAAAGAAAAAAAAGTGAAAAATTCTTTCACTGAAACATACGAAAAACTGCAATTCGCATTTTCCATTAACAATAATCTTCTTCGCCAATTATCCGTCTCTGTCCAATCCGGGAACTAATTGAATCCAAGCGTTACGCTAAACAAATGCTAAAATTCCCAATTTCTTGAAAAAAAATTTCAATCCTCTCTCATTTTCGCGTGATCAGAATCATTTTTCAGCCAATTTTCCACGAGCTACCGGATATCCTGTATTTACAATCCTAGTTAACGCTTCGCTCCGTGACGTCACTGTGCCGTTTCCATCGAGTGTACGAAAAGTTTGCGGTCGAGAGAGGGAGGAAGAGAATGTCGGCCGTTTCCTTTCCGGCCAGAGATATCGTTTCAACTAGAATCGGGGGGATGGTTGCGTCGGTTTCGAAGATTCACCAACCCCTCTCTTTTGCTATGTTTCTTCCCTTTCGTTCTTCGACGTCGTCGTCGTCGTCGCCGATGACGTCAGAAAGTCTGAGCGGGTCGAACGTGTATTTTAGTTCGATATCACGGACGACGTGGCACACATGTGGGTCGAGCGATATTGTGATATTAAATTCTGCGTTCTGGTAAATTGGGACAGTTGAGGGAAACCGATAGGGGATGTAGGTTTACTCCTTTTTTCCTCCCTTTTTCTTTTTTGCAGTAGCCTTTCTTTACAGTACAACTTCCCTTTTTTTTTCTTTTTTTTTTTTGTTTGTTCTTCATCGATGATAATTAAACTATCATTAGTTCGCGCGTTTACGAAAATTTCTTTAAACTTAAATTTATTTGCAGAAAATCCAGAGGTTAGAGAACTCACAAAATTCGTTGATTGAATTTTACAAGACGTCGGAAAATATTTATTCATTATTTTCGAATTTCCGAACTATCGAGTCTCGAAATTGTCCGACTTCTAAGCTTTCTTAACTGCAACATTTAGAATGATTATCGATAATTAAGAATGATTATAGATAACCGAAGGCTGAAACAAACAAGTTTTACTCAAGGTCTGTCCTTATAAAGACGCGAATTCGCATAAACATCCACAGTCTGATTACCAGTTATCTCTGTAGCAAAATAAGTAGATTAGAAAGGATCGACGAAGATTGCAAAAGGAAGACTCGATGCTTGACGAGGAAGATAAAAAAAGATCATTTATCTGTTAAAAATTGGAATACAATTGAAATATCCGCTTATCTGGCGAAATATAAATATATATATTCGAAGACGTCAGCGACACATTTCGTAGATACGTCTTAAGACTCAATTTGCGTCAAGAGTTTGATCCTAAGCAAATTGAAACGTCAAGAGGTATCGTAATTTACACGCCGTAACTTTTCGTAAATAAAAAAGTAAATTGTGCATTATTTTTACGTTCGTCACAGTGGATTTATGGCTACGAGTTATTTAAACAATTTCGGCCGTCTTGTCTCTTTCGAGGAGACATCCGTTGAAAATTTGTAACAACAGGTAAACTTGAATTATATTATTCGGGAAGTAAGTAAGTAAGTAAGTAAAGTAAGTAAAAGTAAGTAAGTAATTTCTTTGTAGAGAAACAAAATTTCTAATAATTTCCTTTCCTCTTTTAAATTAATTTCTTTATCAAACAAAGAAATTGTTACATCTGAAAAAAATTCCGAACTTCAGCTAGAGTTAATTTAGTCGACGTTCAAAGTGATATCCGCCAATCTTTCTAGCTGCACGAGAAATTACCAGCTAAGCAAGAAAATCGGAAGCGAGACATTAGCGAGTTCAAGGCTCGATCGATCCTTCCAGAGTTTGGTTTAATTATCGTCGTAGATAGGAAGCTCGGAATAATTAAATAGTTGAATCATCGCGAACTATCGATATCGATTTCGCTCGCTCGTTAACCGGAACACATCGCTATTAAAACGCTAATTTTCTATTTTGACTTAGGTCATGTACCGATATACATATTTCATTTTCTATGTACCACGGGACAAATTTTTACACTCAGTTCTTCTTTCGTTCAAGAATAGAATACAATAATTTCATACTTATAAAAATGGTATAAAAATCTGTATATTTATTTTATAATCAAAAATGATAATGAGCAAATTCGCCGAACGTTTCACCGAAATGTTTTAACTTTCCAAGTGATTCTGAAATAATATAAATAAAGGAGAAACATGCTGACAAATATTTCATTTTACAATTGCGATTATAAATATTCAATTTTAATCGAATACTCTAACTTGTGAGATATCCTATTGAAAAGGACAATTATTTTCAATTATTTTCAGAATGACTCTGTCAGCGTTATTCGAGTGTTAGAAGATGAGACGACGTGTCACTTAGTTAATCAAGATTGGCGAGGATACAACTGTAGCGGTTCAATTTTCAATCGAGGTCGAGTTTACTTACTCAGCATTGTCGGCTCGAGTTTTCTGCTACATATATATGTTCCTACAGAGAGATACGTGTACGTTTGTTGGAAGAATGGAGGTTCGTTAAACGAAATCGGAGGTACAGGCGTAAAATGGCCTTTGTATATCCTTTGAGTGGCTCGAGGTGCTCGTGCACGATGATTCATCTATAGTGATTTCGCTTTGGAAAAAAGTGCGAGCATCGTCGATCTCGTGATTCGACATTACCCGGAGTCTGACGTAATGCTCGTCTTGGTCTCGGAAGTGTGTTTATCATGTCGAACACGAAACTATTGTATTACCCGAATTGAATTTTATATCGCGAGATGTAGAAAGATTACAAAAATCCAAGGACTGAAAGGATTCGAAAAAATTTTTGTAACTGAAGGATTTGGAATCTAGAAGGATTTAAAATTGTAGAAACTCGGGAAATTTGGAATTTTAAAAGTTCTAACGCTGGAAAAAAAGACTTGGAGATGCAAAGCTCGGCAAAATGATAATCAATAATTCTGAACTTTCGAAATTTATAATCGCAAGCATTTGAAAATTGAAGAAAATTTAGAAATTCAGAACGACTCAAGTTCTAAAAAGAAAAAAAAAAAAAAAAAAAAAAACTGAAACATCCCACCACAAACCGAATCTTCTTCCTCACGCTCAACAAATTAAAGCTAAATTAAAACTCTCTCCTTTGTTAAAACAAGAACACACGAGGATGCTCTCAACACGAGTCTTCGATAAATCGAACAAAAGACTAAAAAAAGAAGAAGCATCCAACACCTGCTTTAAACAGAGATTCAATAACTCCGCATCAAAGATGGAATATTAATAAATAAATATACTCGATGACATGATATCCTCCGCTTTATCAAAGAAGAGAGTATTCTTAGATATTGATGATTTAACGATGGCATAAAATTAAACTCTGTAACCGAGTTTT